GGGGGGGGGGGGGGACCAGTTGTGCAATGCGACTGCGCAATACAGCTGGTTCCAGTGGGTCCAGCTAGTCCTACTCTAGCTCCAAGCCAACCCCTGCCCGTGATCCGCGTTCATGCCCCTATGCCCGTGATGTCCCATGGTTCAGCCGTCGATTCGTTCATTTGCTCATGGATTCGCGGATTTGCGCGATCCAACTGTCATCCGCGCTACGGGGCGTTGATCTGTGGCACGACGAACTCTGTGACTCGCGGATCTGGGCTGGACCATGGCAGCGTGGACCAGCGGATGCGCTCGCCTGCAGTGGGTCTTACATCTCATGAGACCGGGAGCCAAGACAGGATTGTCAGAAGCGAGAGTGCGCGCAGCCGAGCAGCGCGAGATGTGCGAGGTGCGGTGTGACATGCCTCGCGTGAATGAGACGTGGACGCTGACGAAGTTCGAAGCGCAGCAGCAGCGCATCAGCTGTCCTGCATGTTCTGCGTACTACGTCAGCTGCTCTGCGTCAGCTGCGGTAGAACACAAGATATGCAGGCATCTGCTCGACGGAAACGCCGGGGCAGGTATGCTCCGAGACTGCTGGCGGCCTGGCGGACGCCCGTACGCCCCCGTCCAAGCGCAAGCACTTCCCCCACCCTTGCCTTCCAGATCGATCAACGATCCGCACAGATGCACAGCGACCAGTGGGGGCGGCTGCTCAGGAGCGCACATGGGAAGCCAAGGGGCGGCCGGGGTGGCACGTGTGGGGAGGTTGTTTCGGTGTATGCGGCGTAAAGCTCGTCAAGGCCAGCGCACTGACGTTCGCTTCTGATCTCGTGTCGACGGGAGGCGGCGCTCAGACCTTTTCCTCCCCACCTTGTTGCTCCACTTGGACGTTTAGACCACTCCACGCCCCCACCAGGGCCCACCACGGGAGTGCCGGCGCGCCAGAGAGTGTCTGTCCGCCGGATAGCCACGGAGGAGGCTCGAGCGGTCAGCTGTCGAGACGCAGGGAAGAGACGAGGCGGGGCGACGAGGGTGCCCCAGATCTGGATGTCTGGGGCTCGCTGCCACCGTTCCCACCGTGACATTGAGACCGTGCGCATAGTTGTGCGCCGTGCCGCTGCGTCGTGCCACATGCCTCGCCTCTGCCGTGTTGCCGTGGCCGGGAACGCCGTACGCCTCCCCTCGTGCCCTTTGCACTGGGCGTATCTCGGCTCCCCCGTCTAATCAGCGATACGAGCTTGCTGTCGCCCGCTTTCATTCTCTCGATCGAACGAACCTTGGACCAGGTTTGAGCTGCATAACCTGTGAGGCGGGGAGCTGTGAGGGGAGACGGCGAGGAAGACAGGGCCAGAGACAATCTCGCAAGTGTCGCGGGAGGGCGCAGGCGAACAAGACCCCGCCCGCTCCCACCCAGCCAGGTGCGGCAGTGCGGAACAATGCAGGTCCTTTCGATCCCCCCGTCCAGGGAACCAGGGGAGGAGGGGGGCTTGATGGAATTCGAGCCCGCTCAAGACCGATACGAGTATTCTCTTCGGGTCAGGCTGCCAATTTGTGCCAAGACGTTCGCCGACGGCCATGGCAGTCTAGACACAGACAGGAGAAGTTCTCCAGAAATACAAATGAATTCCGAGCAAAAAAACGTATCGCCGCGACATTCGTCGACGCGAAAGCGTCACCTCGCCTTGCAGCCGGCACGGTTGACACGGTTCCATGAATGCCCAGGACGGAGCCCAAACAGCACCAAAAGGGCACCAAGATCCACGCTCCCACTGTTGCCGTGATCCACGGCTATGTGCACTAAACTGGAGCGAGCGGGCGAGGCATGGAACCGATAGCTAGCTTCTGTCGGGAATCTGTAATCTGTCATCTGTCATATCGCCCACAATCAATATCTGTAATCTGTAATCTCGCCTGACAGCAGGTGGGAGCGGAGGCGAAGCCAACAAAGGCCCAGGCGCAGCCCAGGAGGGCCACCTGACCTGGTCTGCTGACCCGCCTTGACCCGGAGAACGGCTAATGCAGCCTGTCTCTGCCAATCCCGCTCTCAGCCTAGCTCTGTGCGCAGACTAACATCTGCTTATCAATCTCCTGGGCAACTTGGGAGCGGGCAACTCCACCACGCCTCCAACACCGGCACACCCGTGGGTCCCGTGGTGCGCTATGGCCACTGTTGGTGCTTTCTGATGGCATTCGGGTTTCGATACCAGCGGCCCAGAGTGGCTCAAAGTGGCCCACCGGTAAACGTCTATTATGCATGCCTTCCCCAGAGACAAGGACAGCGGTATCAACCGCTGCTTGCACTGCAACCGACAGAAGCGACCGGAGCCGCCGTCTCCTGTCTCTTGCGTGCTTCCTGTGCTCCGAGTTTACCCATATTAATCCAGATGATCCCGAGGAAGATCGAGGGTAACATATCGCGGACACTTGCAGATTGCTGGGGATGGGGCGGATATGGCCGGCCCCCTCCTCTGCCCTCTGCGGATGCAGGTGTGCCACTTCCAAATCCGATCCCCCGTTTCCCTTTCCCAGAGAGGAAGCCATCGAGATCTGCATGAGTTGATTCCGTCGGAACGACACTTGCCCACTGCACTAAAGAGCGTTATGCATGCCTCCGCCACTACTGCGTGTACTGCGTCGCACAGTCTGGCGAGGACAGCGATGAGAAGCCACTCTGCATAATCAGCCGACGAGGCGGTGGCGTCTGACGACTGCGGAAGACAGGTGGAGGGGAGGGATGGGTGATGAATGGAGCAGAACTGGTCCGCGGGCCCGCTTCGCCTTTCGAGTGCCAAGACAGGGATGACAGGGGCGAGAGCAGCGGGGGCGGGCGACGAGCTGAACCGGTCGTCTTGGCCGCCTCCACCAGACCTCCACTCTCCCCCCCATCTCCCCTACCCTCTCTGCCTCTTCTCTTTCTTCCCCTCGAACACTTCGCCTCTCGAAATGCCCCAATAACAACAGCGAGGTTGCCGAGCTCGTCCTGACTGAGAGCGCACGGGTCGTAAGCCATGTGGCATAAGAGCCGAACTCTTGAGGAGAGCGGACAAGCGGACGCCAGAGTCCGTGCTCGCATACCTTCCACGAGCTTGGCTTGGCAAGTCCCCTGACATTTGGACAGGCCCTGAACTGCCGTGGCCCCACTGTCTGCTGACACTCTACTGACTGCTGATGGCTTACGCTTCCGCGCCTGTGCCTTGCAATTGTGTGCCTGGGGCTCGAACGTCCAGGTTTGGGCTGCGTACGCTGTCAGCTGCCTCTACGTCTCTGCCGTTGCGGAATCTGGGCAAACCCGCGTTAAAGTGGTGGAGCAACCACGGTAAAGAAAGTTGAGGTTCGCAGTCGGTTGGAGCTCTCGCTCGTCGGTAGTGTCGGTTGGAGCGGCGGCACGGGCACTTTGACAGTGGAGTTGGAGTCGGTAACGAGTGTCCTCCCAAAGGCACTCAACCCAACGGGCCAGCAAGCGACGCGCGGCACGGAACTTGGCCAAGAGGAGGAACCCACGCCCATGTCAGCTGAACGGTAGCGTGCATAGCGTGTTTCGGACGCACGCGCCGTCCCACCCGCACTTTTCATGGGCTCTAGACCCGGGGCCCGGTCTGATCGCCGCGTATAGCGCAGATGTTGCAGCGGGGCAGCGCGTTGCTGCCAGTTTTAGAACTGGGCTAGACGGCTCCCCATCCCGCGAGCTCGCGTCATGTGCTCATAGCCCGGTGGGTTTCGTGTCATTTTCGTTATTCGTATTTTACCTTGCTTATTTCTGTTTCTGGGTCGTTGCTCGCTTGTCACCCTCCTCTGTGTGCCTGGGACCAGTTCTGTTTCTGAGTCCACGGATCGTTGGGGCCACATCTTGGGGCAATGGAGGATATTGGGGAGGAAGAAGAGTGGTTGCTGGCAGATGGCCGGCGAGGAACAGGGTGGACCTGGTGACACAGGGGCTTAATGCAGGACCGAGTGGGGAGCCCGCCCCGAGTCCAAGTACCATGGGTCCATGTGAGCGGACCCGGGCGCTGCAGGGCCGGCCAGCGGGCACATGGGCAGGAGCTCCGCGTCCACCCTACCAGGGGGTGCCTGCCTCTCCGCGCTCGGCGCGCTCGGGATCGGCGACTCTTGCAACTCGCGCGACCACCCAAGTCCCTCTCACCCTAGCCACGGCCCTGCAATGCTGCCTGCCAGCCCGTACCACCGTACCGCGGACCCTCGTTCCTCTCGTTCCTGCCAGTCATGTGAAAGCACTGCCTGAGCCTGATTCGTCCCCGTTGCCAGCATGCATGCGCGCAGCAATGGGCTGTCGCCAGTGACGTTGTGCATGGTCTGCGACGTGCTCTCGGGCCAGGATTGCGCCCACCTTATCCATTTCCAGGCTCATCTTGGTCTCCTCTCAGGACATGACACCCAACCTTGACGACCCAGGCGACAACCACGGCACGCAGGAGAGCAAGTGAAGCACAGGTGATCAGCCTCGGACATGTGCTCTTTGTGCTCCCCCACCCTGCAGAAAAATGCAGGGGTGACCAAACCCGGTTCCGATTGAGCACAATGGCTCTTGATTACTCCGTCGACAGGATCCGGGGCAGAAGGGGTAGAAGGGACCGAAGGGACACAGAGCGCGCGCGTGGTGCGTGGCTCCGCGCTCGGTGAATACTCGCCAATCCTCGCCCGAAAGTCGGCATTGCGGTCCTCTTTCCTCCTCAGTTCATTGGTCGGACGTGCGAGGACGGAGAGAGGCTCCTTCTTCGGCGGCGCTTTGGTGACTTGCGTTTTTCTGATGTTTGGACGCAGGTCGATGTGCAGGGTATGCATCACAGGGTCGACCGCAAGGAGTACACCACGAGGAGGTGCGAAGCCGCCCATCGCGGCCGCCGCAGGGATGCTGCAGGGGAGTGTTCATGGAAAGACGCAACCCGAATTCCAGTCCCGACAGACTGACCCGAGTGCTGACTCCGACGGAGCGGCCCACCGGTCCACCGGCTCACCAGTCCACCGGTATAGCGGCGAGCGCTGCCCGCCGCACCAAGAGACCTGAGGGCATGCATACGTCTGCTCTATGAACGCCGCCGAAGTCCGAGAGACCTCGGTCTCACCTCAAAAATGGCAGCGGTATGAGTGTGTCTGCGTGGCGTCGGTTGCGTCAGTTTGGGCAGTTGCGGCTCTGGCAGCCAGCAGGCCGTCAGCTGGGGCAACAGCTGATGCGGCCGCGGATAGCCGCACACACCTGATGCACCTGGTTACACCTGACGCGCTAAACTGGTCGTGTGTCCGGTCCGGAGTTGACATATTCAGCGATTTTGGTTGCTCAAATGGCATGCGATTCGTCACGCCTGACATGCTGGACCCTGCAGAACTGCGCCTTCCATTGCACTTGCAACGCCAGCGTGCGCCAACGAAAGAAGGGGGAGCGAGCAACTCATGTGTTTGGTAGTCTGCCTGGATAAACCAGTATGACTTGAGGGTAATGAACACCGCAGAGCCTCGCAACCCGACTGGACGGCCCGACCACGCACTTATCTCCGCCGAGGAGATAACTGAGGCCAAGTCGCCGTATACGCCGTACCGTCGTGCGGCCCGCTAGGTATGCTGCGCGGCTGCGCGCCGATGTCGCGATCACGCCGGACCCCTGTCCCTGTTCTCACGACAGAACTCGCCTACTGGTCGCCCCACTTAAGACTTGGACACCTGGACACGAGTGCTGGACACGGGTGCGGCTCTTGCGGCTCCTGCGGCAGTGTCAGTCATCGTGAGAGCGCCAGGCTTGGGTGACAACCACAGGTCACAAACGGGGCAGAGACCAGGCACAGAACGAATGAAGGCCAAGATGCTAACGTTCACAAAGTGTTGCATGTTTTGGGGAGTTCCAGTCTATAGAATTGTTCTGTAATATTGCGATTGCGCTGAGATTGCGAAACGGCCAAGATGTGACCGAGGTCTTCACCTCGCTTAAGCGTGGCACTTTAAGGCTCGATCAAAGTCGCATCCGACGACTCGGATCCGTCCGCCTGCTCCTTGCGCTCGGCGGCGCGATAGAGCTCCTCGTACTTGCCGCTCTTCTGACAGAGCGTCTTGAACAGGCCGCCCTTGCGAAGGAGGTTCTGCGTGTCGGTTAGTGAGACCGTGTTGCTAAGCTTACCATGGGCGTGTCGAACTCGGCGACACCACCGTCCGCCAAGACGAGCAGGCGGTCGTAGTCGATGACACTCGACAGGCGGTGCGCGATGGAGAGCACGGTGGAAGTCTTGAATTCGGTGCGGATGGCAGCCTGCAGGACAGAGTCCGTAGCTGCTTGTCAGTTACCATTCAGAATAGATTTACTCACCAAAGTCCACGCTTGAGGTTGCCTCGTCCATGATCTGAAGTCAGCTGACGTACTGTTCGTAACTTACGATGAGGTTGGAGCGACGCAGAAGAGCACGAGCCATGGCAACGAGCTGGCGCTGGCCCTGCGAGAAGTTGGCACCACCGGCAGAGACCTCGCTGTTCAGCGTGATGTGCACACGCGGCGTTCCTGTACCGCTGGCAAGCGAACTCGACGACTCGTTGCGGTTGATCGCAGCATCCTGCGCAACGACCTGGGCAAGGCGCTGGTCGACCGCGACGAGGGAGGCGTTGCGCGAGACGGAAGGCGTACCAGCCCTTGTGGCAGCAGCAGTCTCGGGGTTGATGAGCTTGACCCGAGTGAGGGCCTCGATGAGCTCGGCATCCGTGTGCTCGCCGAAGGGGTCCAGGTTGTCGCGAATTGTACCGCTGAACAGCACAGCATCCTGTGGGATGTATGTGATGCGCGAGCGGAGGTCGTCGATACCGATCGACGTGATATCGATGCCGTCCAGAATGATCTTGCCTGCAGCTGGATCAGTGAAGCGCAGCAGACTCATCGCCACAGTCGACTTTCCAGAACCCGTGCGCCCGATGAGACCGATCTTCTCCCCGGGCTTGATCGAGAAAGAGCCCTTGAAGACGGTGGGGAGCTCGGGAGCGTACTTGATCTCGACATTCTCGGCGCGGATGAAGTCGTCGGTGCCATTGTACGAGGGCCAATACGCAGGCGGCTGGTGGCCGGGGATCGTGGACGGAGGCTCAGACGGCAGGAGCAGGTATTCCTCGATACGCTCGACTGAGTTGAAGTCCATCTCGAGCTCTCCGACAAAGCGGGAGACCCAGTAGCAAGCCTGAACGAAGCCCTGCGCACTGGTGATGGCGACACCCGCAGATCCGGGTGAGACAGCACCGGAAAGACAGAGAATCGTGGTCGCGTACACCGCGATAGCACCCAGAACGTCGAAACGCAGCAGCAGCCAGCGGTTCGTCATCCAGTAGTAGTAGAAAGCAGCGTTCGCAACATCGACCTGCTTGCACATGCCATCGAAGAAACGGCGCTCAGCGCTGAACGCACGGACACTGATGATGCCGTCCAGAAGCTCAGCGAAGCCAGAGAAGATGGGCGACTTTGATGTAGCCTCGAGACGTCGCAGACCTCGTCCGGTACGCAGGTACAGGACAGCGTAGCTGTAGTACATGGCCATGATGCCGACAGCGGGGATGGCGAACCAGGGCACAACGAAAACAACCATGCCGGTGGCGGCGATCAGAGAGCCGAAGTACACCATGACCGTGGAGAGCGATCCGGCCAGAGAACCATCGACGGTCTCGATGTCCTTCGTGCAGCGGTTGAGAATGCGGCCCATGGGGGTCGTGTTGAAGAAGCGGATGGTGCCCCTCAGAACAGAGTCGAGTAACTCATTGTGAAGCGTGCGGGCGGCGCGGTAGCTTCCCCACTTGCTTGCGGCAGAGGCCGCCACAGTTGCGAGAATGGTGAGGACGGCGATGCAAGCGTAAACGCCGAGGTAGAAGAGAGGGTGTGTGTCGGCAGAGGGCAGCTTGCTGGTGTAATCGCCCATGGACTGCACAGCGAGATCGGGGGTGGCATTTGCAGACGATGCCATGGAGTCGTGGTAGATCCAGTTGTGGCGAATCTCAGAGTGACTGTGTTGGCTGTAGTCGTGGGCCCCAGCAAACTGGAACCAGGAGTGCAACCTCGTGTTGTACGCCTCGCCCCAGATCTTCAGCCACCAACGCTCAAGCAAGCTAGATCCTTGCGTGATGAAGAGCGCGATAAAGAAGAAAACCCAGGTGATCCAAGTAGCGGCACGGAAATAGCGAGCATAGGTCTGGAACTTGACGTTGCCGACTGCACGCTCCTCGTCCTTGACAAGCTTCCGGGCCGGGCCCCTCTTCTTCTCCTTCTTCTTCAGCTGAGCAGCGTCCTCTGTACCGAGCTGTTGCTCTTCGAGCGTAGTTGCATCGACCGCCGCGACGGGTCCCTCCTTGCGCGTGATGGCGGTCTCGACAGCGACGATGCCGGCAAGCTCGCCGTTCAGCTCAGAGGGTGTTCCCTGGCAGGCGATGCGGCCGTCGAGAACGCGAACAATGTAGTCAGCCGACGAAACGAGGAGGTCGAGGTGGTGAGACACAAGGATCTGGACACTGTCAGCGATGCCGGATTACGACGAATGCCATGTCCAGTCGACTCACCACAGTGCGGTCTTTCATGAGCGGGCCGTTGAAGCACTGCTCGACCAGGTGCTTGGCCGTGTGCGAGTCGACAGCCGCCAGAGGGTCATCGAGGAGCACGTGCTTCGTGTATGAATAGACCGCTCGAGCCAGGGCAACTCGGGCTTTCTGACCCCCACTCAAAGAAACCTGAAGGTTGTCAGTTGATAATGCACCATGATTAGTCGGGAATACTCTAGTGGGTTATAGTGCAGCACACTGCCATTCGAGACTATACTCACTCCCTTGGCTCCAATCTCGGTGTCATCGCCGTCCTCGAGAATGTCGAAATCGGTCCGACTGTCGTTAGCTCTCTGGTCGACTACACCAGGTAAGCACTTACAGAGCACATGCGTCGACAGCAGCCTCATACCTCTCCTCGTCATACTCCTCTCCGAAGAGAATGTTGTCTTTGATCGACATCTGCTGAAGCCAGGGCGTTTGAGCAGCGTACGCGCTCGAGTTGCGCAGACCAGTGGCAGGGTCCACCTGCTGAAGATTCTTCGGGAGGAAGACCTCACCTGACAGCACGTCCATCTCTCCGAGAAGACCAACGAGCAGAGCAGACTTGCCCGCGCCGGTGGGACCCGTGACGACGGAGAGTTTGCCAACGGGGAAGTTGACATTGATGTCCGTGAGTTCGAAGACCTCAGCCTCTGAGGGAGGAGTGGACTCGGTGTCGTCATTTCCATTAGCAGTGGTGCCATTTGTCGCTCCGTTGCTCTCAGATACGGATGCGCCAGAGTTCCAACGCAGAGTGGCGCGCTTGAAGCCAACCTTCTCGGGACCAGTACCTTGCTCAGCAGGGCGCTTCAGCGAAGAGACCCAATCGGGCACCTCGCCTTCAGCCAGGAAGTCACTGATGCGGTTCAAGGCGACCTTGGCCTGCAACATCATGACGATGAACGTCGGCAGAATGTTCAAGGGCATGCGGAGCATCTGGAAAAGAGCCAGAGCAGTGAAGGCGACATCGACAGTCAGCTTGCCGTGCTGGAAGTAGATGAAGCTGAAGAAGGCGAGCAGCGTGATGCAGAGTGGCACGAGACCCCAGAGAAGGTAGAACGCCAGGCCGTTGAAGATGCTGCGGACCATCTGTTTCAGCTCGGCGTTACGGGCGTCCATCGCCCTCTCCTTCCACTTGCCCGTCCACGCAAAGAACTTGATGAATGTGATAGAGCTGATCAGCTCCGTCATGATGGAGATGCGCTTGTCGCGGGCCTTGAGCCATGCTTTCTGGATCTTAACCGAGCGGTTCGACAGGAAGGAGTTGAGCGGCCAAGAGATCACCAGGACACAGATACCGACGAAGGCAGACCAGCCCAGAAGCCTGTATGTTAGATCGCGAAGCCGAGCGGACGACTCACTGGTAGAGGTAGAAGGATGCAATGGCGATTTCGAACGGGTTGGTGGAGATCTGGTACATGAAGCTGACCATGTTGGCAATGCGCTGGGCATCGCCGCTCATCATGTTCACGACCTTTCCAGTGTCGGCAGCGTTCTGCTTGGTGTCGACCTCCTCTGTCTTGCCCTCCGCCTCCTTGATCTGGACGACGCCGGCGGTGTCCTTCCTCTTCAGTGCCTTCTCGTAGATCGAGGCGGTAAGTCCGGACTTCACTCGGATGTTTGCGCGGCGTCCGTGCCACAGGTGGATCAGGTCGACGACTGCCTTGCTGACCTGTGCAAAGAATCCAAGAGTTCCATAGACATAGGCACGGCCGATAGACTCAGGGGTGCCCTCCATGATACCGGATACGATCCTTTGCAGGAAGAACGGCAACAGATACTGGAGACAGCATGCCACAAAGGTCAGAGTGACATCGACGAGTAAGTCGAAACGGTTTGCCTTGACAATCCTCCATAGGAGGCTAGACGCGATCACCGAGCGGAAGCTGTCGAAGACAATCTTGGTTTGCTGGGTAGGGCTGAGCCTTGGCACGTCCTCCGGCTCAAGTTGGCGCTCAGCACCTTTCTTGATCAATGGGTTCATCCAAGTGAAGGTCAGCCACTGGTTGAGCGTCACGACATCGTCGGGAGCAACGTCCGGCGCCAGCGCGAGCACCTGCGGTCTGTTGAAGCGGAGGAAGCCGGCGACGACGGCAAGGGTGAGGCACAGGGCGGCGTTGAGCGACTCGAACAAGAGGACTCGGTCGGTGGCCCATATCGGCAGGACGCCATGAGCGTACTTCTGGTACGCGGCGGCTGCCAGAACGACGGCCGAAAGGACGGCGAACCACAGGTAGACGACCAAGTTAGTCCAAGGGGGGACAATGGGAGGGCGCAAGAGATTTCGGAAGAGCAGCATAGCCTGAGGTTAGCCGCTAGAGGCAATTTTGACAACTCACCCAAACAGCCGCGACAGCCGCAGCGGTGAGGACATCCCTCACTGGTATTTCGTGCTCGATGCCCCCGTAAAGCTGCAGTCCGAAGGCATAGCTCCAGAGTGCGACCTCGATGGCGCTGATGGCGACGAGCGTGTGGTGGAGGGCGCTCTTGGGGGCGTACTTCCACGAGTCGGCGATGACTTGCGGGTCCTCGGGTGACTTATCAGTTGGCACAGACTTGAGTGGAATCGTGTCGGTGAAGATCTTGCGCACGACGTTGAGCGGGGGCACGCGGCTGACCTGCTGGACGACGAGGAGACCAAAGGCAGTCGCCACCCGCACGTTCGACAGAGCGACCAGACTCGGCACACTCGTCTGAGACAAGGGTCAGCGGTTGGACAGCGAGCTATTGTTTACGGAGGGTACGCACAGACATGATGGTGACGTCCAGACAGCGTCCCGGGTGCGCGTCCAGAGCGCTTTAAGAGCCCAGCGAGATCCGGGGTTGCGCCTCGGGCCAGAGGGATGTGTGTACGCGGGCGGGGCGAGTGTACACAACCTTGGGACGGAGAGAACGGCGACGAGTGATTGATGGGGGGGGGGAGAAGGAAGGAAGGCAGATCAAGCCAAAGGATATAGCGCTCTGCTGCGCCAAAGGTGACGAAAGGGTGAGTCTCGTGCTCGGAGCAACCGCCGACGGCCATGTGACAGACGCGTACCCCGATATAGAGAGCGTCGGCTTCGTCCGCTATCAGTCACCAGGCATGGTGGAGGTTGAAGGCGTGCAAAATTCCTCCGCGCCTGGTGATTTTAGGCACGCCAAGATCATTTTGCGAGTTGCAGTTGTTTTCTGTCCACCCCGTCGTCATTGATCCATCCATTCCAAGCAGGTCGCTGCACGCATTGCATCCCTCCCACAACCTCGACAGCGACACTTTACTGCATTCTACCCGACTCTCCGCACCCCCGCCTGCATTCTCCGACTTGATCGACTCTCGCGCGACCCGCCGTGCCTTCCTTGTCGACCGGCATCCTTCATTCAGCCACTCTTCGCAACCTACACCTCCAAAATCTTATAAACAATGTCGATGGACTCGGACCGCGAGCTGGCGCGTCTCTGGCGTGTGTCGAAGACTGTTCATGAGATGATCCGTGACCGCGGCTACGAGGTTGCCGACTACGAGATCAACATGTCGTTCGACGACTTCAAGGAGACGTACGGCGGTGGTGGTTCCGTTGACCGCGGACGCATGGCGTTCCACGCGAACCACAGCCGCGACTCGCGGGATCGCATCTACGTCTTCTTCTGTGCTGAGGAGGCTGTCTCGAAGGCGACGTACAAGAGGTGGGTAATTACATGGAGCTTGGCTGGGCTTGATGAAGTCGTCGGATTGCCGGGGCGTAGCCTCCGCTATCTCGACTCATAAGGATTCAGCTGTAGCAACGTGTGAGTCAGCTAACCCCTCAGCTTTGTCACATCACTCGACGCGGTCGGAGCAAAGCGCGGCCTGATCGTGCACGGCGGCAAGCTGACGTCTGGCGCGGCCAAGACGCAGAACGAGATGCAGTCCGAGTACCACCTCGAGGACTTCAAGGAGGCGGACCTGCTCGTGAACATCACCAGGCATTTCCTCGTCCCGAAGCACACCATCATGGAGCCCGAGGAGAAGAGCGCCCTGATCAAGCGATAGTGAGTCGGCGAGCCGCTGAGCAGCGGAGCGGCAAGGTAAATGGAGAGGTAGCGCCTGCTATTGTTCGACAGCGCCATGGTGGTGCAACCAGAGCAAGTCGTGGTTGTTTCAGCTATGGGGCCGCAGCTGGCTATGCTGGATTTTGCAGATTTGCTGCTCTACCGGGCTGCTTAACTGCGGCAGCTTCCTGCTTCCTGCTGCCTGTAGGCTCCTCAGCTCCAATTCTCCTCCCCTTCGTTCGCAGCTTTCAGGTCGAGACGAATAGCTAACACCCAGCCGCCTGAAGGACACGCAGCTCCCGCGTATCATGGTCACCGACCCCGTGGCCAAGTACTACGGCCTGCGCCGAGGACAGGTGTTCCGGATCGAGCGTGAATCCGAGACTGCAGGAAGGTGAGTGTGCACAAGCGAGCGCAGCGAGCGTTGTAGCAGTGTAGGATGTGGGGCATCCAGTTCTCCTTTCCGATTACTCCGTGGCATGTGTGCGGGCGAAGCAAACGACGCGGAGCTGAGTTTGGCGCGGAAACACAATGTGTAGGCGACTGCTCAGCCCGCATCTCTCCCCGTGCTGTCTCCGTGCTGTCCAGGCTGGGGAGCAGGTGATCAGCACACGATGGGCAGTGTCCGGCAGCCTGCTGCTGTCACGGGTGCTCCGCCTCGCTCCGCCCGCCCGCTCGCCCGTCGCTTGCTCGGATAGCTACGGGACCTGGAACGACAGCTGACATGACAGGTACATCACTTACCGCATTTGCATGTAGACATAGACCGGGATATGCATTGTATGATAATGGGCGAGGATGTGGACGCCGCAGGGCGCCGAAAGGCGTCCGCAGGCGTCCCGTCGGTGGCATTGCAGGTGACTGCGGGTGACGTCTATCGGATCTGCACACCTCTATCAGAGTTATCGAGGTGTGTTATGTCAGTAGCACATGTCTAGTCTCCGCAGGCAACGCTATGTGACCTACAGATGCAGGAAAGAGTGAGCCAAATGGAACAAAAACAGTGCATAACAAATGGGATGAATGATAACGAGTGTCTGATGATGATGATAGTGATGTCTAGTGCGCCTCAATCCTCCTCCTGAGCTCGGCGAGCTTGGTGTCCGTCTCGACGATATTCTCGCGCAGCTTGGCAAGACTCTTCTGCAAGTCTCCGTCCTTGCTCATGTCGGCGGCGGACATACCCAGGCGCTCGTCGTGCTCGTGCGTCGTCGGGTTGATGAGCATCTTGGGCGGCTTGGGGACCTTCTTCTCCCCCGCGGCCCCAGCCGCTCCTCCGGCTGTAGCGTCGGCATCAGTGCCCTCCTCCGCATCAAGCTTGGCCTGCTCCGCCTCAAACTCGGCATCGGCCCGATCCTGCAGCCGCCTAAGCTTGGTCAGCAGGCCATTGTTCAGCTTGATCTCGGCGAGGAGTTCCTGCTCCGTATCCGCCAACTCCAGGCGGGCATTCTCGAGTCCGCGGAGCAGATTCCGCTCATGCAGGCGGAGCTTCTCCGCATCCTGCGCCGCGATCTCGGCCGCCTCCTCGGGACTGATCTCGGCCTGCTTCCGGCTTCCGTCATCGCGGTGGTCGCGCATCCAGGCGCCGGCGTTGGGACGGGCAGCGCGGCGCCATTGCTGCTCCAGCGCGCGCTGGGCTTGCATCTGCTTCTCGAGCTCAGCTTGGGCCTCCCGTGCGTCGAAGACGGGCTGACCCGGCTCGAACTGCTGGTCCTCTGTTGGCCGCGCCCGTGGGCTGGGCGAGGAAGGGTCGACGTACCCTACTCCAGCGAGGGCGCCGATGAACACTAACAGGGCGCTGGGTGTCAGCTCGAATCCCAGTCCGCAGAGCTGAAGCGAGGGGCGGCGATCGAGCCACATGTTCGTTGCCACCCACATTCGCGTTTCTTCAGGTCGCTACCAGTGGCGTGGCGAGAGCAATGTGACAGAAGCAATGATGGCAGCGTCCGCTACACTCGCCGCTCGCCGCTCGTCGGATACTTACATGGTGAACACAAGCATGAAGGGGAGGTTTCCCCTTTTGACGGCGCGCACGAAGCGAGCGCCGATGGCGCGCCCGATGTTCTTCGGGCTCATGGCTGCGCGCCTGCGGTCCTTCTCCTCCTCGACGTCGTCAAAGTATCCCCGTCGGTTGGGGTTAGAAAGCGGCCCGCCAGACTGCGAGTGCGAGTGCGAGTGGGCCGAGGTGAAGTGGTGGCTGTCGGAGCGGGTGTGGTGGTGGCCGTGCCGGGCGCGGGTAGCTGTCGCGCCGTGCGAAGGAGCGGGGGTGTAAGGAGCGTGGGTAGTGGTGTCGTGGAGTGTGTGGAAGGAGGAGGAGGAGGAAGGCGCGGAGCCTCCTTTTTCCAGGTGGTTGCTGTATTCCATGGCTGGGACACGGGGAGACGTGCACGAGCACTACTGCGGAAGGAAGGCCGGGAGGTCTGAGGACTGAGGGTCTTCGGCGTACTACTGCGACGCTAGCGCGCTTGGCCCCGGAGCGAGAGGAGTGCGGAGGATCTAGGCGTCGATCTAGGTGAGACGGACGAGTAAGGTTTCAGTTCGAGGCTGAGCTTGTGACGGGGCAGCGTGCTCTCGGTTGGAGGTAGGGAGAAAGGGGCGGAGCACGACGAGGGCGAGGGAAAGGAGTGCGACCTTTGTGGGAGGAATCTCTCTGTGTGCTCTGAAAGTTACGAACCCAGGGAGTGAAAGTGCGCACCGATCGCAGTCGCAGTGGTGGGTGTGTGGTGTCGCGGTGGACGGGCCAGGGTCACTTTCCGAGCCTGACCAGTCCTGGGCAGCCAAACAGTCGCAGCATGCAGGGCGTTACTATATTCCGCTACAGATGAAGGCGTGCAAAATTCCTCCGCGCCTGGTGATTTTAGGCACGCCAAGATCATTTTGCGAGTTGCAGTTGTTTTCTGTCCACCCCGTCGTCATTGATCCATCCATTCCAAGCAGGTCGCTGCACGCATTGCATCCCTCCCACAACCTCGACAGC